GTACGTACGAGACGTATAGAGTAGAGTAGAGACAGAGAGTAGAGTAGAGTAGAGTAGTAGAGAGTAGAGTAGTAGAGAGAGAGAGAGAGAGAGAGAGAGAGAGAGAGAGATACACAGCTGAGGTGTTTGTTACATTGCTTTGGAGATTTTGATGCACAGCTCAGGTGCTTGTTACATTGCTTTGGAGATTTTGATGACCCAATGTTCGAAAAAAGGATGCTTAGTCGAGCACCCATAGTAGCCCTTCTCTCCTGTGGGAATTGAATTCCTTTTCCAAACTATGTATTTTCATTTAGTCATAAAATTTCTCCAATTGAGAAGTCTGCCATTGCCGATTAAATTTGTTAAAAAGTTATTTTGTTAGTTCCAGCCTTCTGAATAAGAATTTTATTATTTAACGCATGCAAGATTAGTGCTTTATGAAACCTGTATATAAAAATGGTTAGGCGCACATTAAAGGAGCGATCTAGACAATATTAGATTAAATAGAGAAAGTAATATTGTATGATAAGTGTTTTTTGCGGGTTTTTTACCATAATATGTTGTGAGCTATATGGTTCATGGTTTTATGTATTTTAAATTTGAGCTGTGAATAAGGGAATTATTTGTTTGCCTAGGATTAATTAGAGAAATTGTGCGTGATTAATTCATGATCATCAGAGGCTTTTGCCAACTATTTGGATTCGGCTGAGGTCGTGCTTAATTGAGACATGATAATTGGCCAATTGGATAATTGCAATTACTTCTTGTTCTTGATCCATTAATGCTTACTATGAGATAATCCTGTTCTCGCATGTTTGGTACCCAAGAAACCGAATGCTTCTTTTTCCCTGATAGCAGACTGTTATTCACGCAATTTTGATTTCTAAAACACTTGTTTCTTATTGGCGACTGTATTATCCCTAATTAAAAAATGGGCTGATTCCCAATACACTTTCTTTATCGAGTATTTTTAGCTCAATGTTTTTGAATGATTTCATTTACGCCTATCATATCTAATTTCAGTTTCACTATTTCTCAGGTTCAAGTTTTGTTATTTAGTAATCTTTTCTGTTAGTTTACATTTTGTTTAATTCATTTGATACAAATCGCCTTAGTTTTACTTTCATTGTCTACTTTATGCTAAAAGAGTTCTTTTGAGTAAAGCTCCCCTTTAACTCTTATAATTCTTGATGAATTGTTTTTCCCCCTGTTTTTTATACTAGTTCACAATCTCAATTTTTATTTATGATTTGTAGCTATATATTTGCTATCTTGTGGCATAGATGGGAACAAACATTCTTTCTGTTCAAAATCTTAATTTTCTTTTCGTCTTTCTACAAAGGCTGGTTTCAAAATTGAGACCATTCTATAAAATAGAAATGTAAGCATTTACTTTAGATGAGTTAAATTAGATCGACAACTGTTACATGTTTGGTGGTTTTATAATAGTTTTGGTCCATAAGTCCTGGATAACAGGCATTTTCGATAATTTGAGACTTTTCTATATTTTGTATCCTTAAGTCTAAAATGGTTAGCATGGCAGGTTATATACGACAAGCAAACCGGGAGAAGCCGAGGCTTTGGGTTTGTAACGATGTCTACTGTTGAGGAAGTGGAAGCGGCTGTTCAGCAATTTAATGGCCATGTGAGTTTCTTCTTGCCTTTCTCTGTGAGAGAGAGAGAGGGAGAGAGAGATTTTACACCAGGAGTTTTGGGTGCTTATCAGAAGTTGTGACAGAGATTTTACACCAGAAGTTTTGGGTGCTTATCAGAAGTAGAGAGAGAGAGAGGAAGAGAGATTTTACACCAGGAGTTTTGGGTGCTTATTAGAAGTTCAACATCATCCGAGGTTATCCCAAGTATTTAGGGTTCGTTACATGAATCCTTTTACACCATTTTGCTCTATCAAGGGCTGTAATTTCAGTCAGACCATAAGGCACCATCTCTTCTCATTATAGGGAATGCCCTAGTATGAGCATTTAACATTGGCTCAGAATTCATGACAGAGATGCGGAAAAACTTTTGAGCTGGCTGCCAACCTAATACAACCTTACTCCTTTCTTATCTGGGTTTGTGATCGGCAGTGGCAGAGTTATCTGTTGAAATTATTATTTAGTTAAACAATTGAGTCAAGAGACTTATTTCTCATCTCTGTCGTCAAACCTGAAATCAAACAAGTAAGAGTTATTGTTTAGTTTAATTTCAGTAAGCTGTACAATAATATTTCTTAGGTTCTCTCGTACTAGAATTTTTTGTTGTTTACCTACTGTTGGATAGACCCCAATTAATTGGGAAAAGGCTGATGAACTAGTGTTGGATATAACTGAAATTGTTTTGTAAAAGAAATGCAGTTCATATATTGTTTCTATCTCAACTCTATCCATTGGCCAATAGGAGTATTTGTGATGCAACAGGACTTTGAAGGAAGACAATTAAGGGTGAATTCGGGACCTCCTCCAGCGAGAGACGAGATGTCACCTAGAGGGTCCCGAGGTTTTGACTCTCCTAGGCCCCGAAGTTTTGACTCTCCGAACCGAGTCTATGTTGGGAACCTTTCATGGGGTGTGGATGATTTGGCTTTGGAGAACCTTTTCAGTGAGCAAGGCAAGGTTATGGAGGCCAAGGTGGTATACGATAGAGAAAGTGGCCGATCAAGAGGCTTTGGATTTGTAACCTACAGTACAGCGGAGGAGGTGACTAGCGCGATTTCAACACTTAATGGGGCCGTAAGTCTCTTGAAGCCCAATTTGCCCCTTCTCTCTCTCTCTTCAAGTTGTTTTGTGTGTTACGATGTATGAGAGAGAGAATCCCAAATTCACACTTCACACTAAGGTTTGTTATGGGGCATCCGTATGTGTGTGTGTGTGTGAGAGAGAGAGAGAGAGAGAGAGAGAGAGATTCAGTGTCGGGAAAATCCCAAAATTTTGAGGGCAATTCAGTGGTGTTGTGTGTACTATGCATCTGTGTCTGTCTGTATTCGCGTGTGGATATGTGCACGTGAGGCAGAGAGAGTTCTCATATGAATGTGTGCGTGTGAGAGAGATATAAGTCGCAAATGCTTATATTTTATGGTATGATGCAGGACTTGGATGGTAGACCAATAAGAGTTACCCCAGCTGAAGCAAAACCCAGGCGCCAGTTTTGATTCCAACTGGTTTTATGAATGAGTTTCAGTACTCGAGCCAGGGAGGATGGAATATGTGCACTTCACTTTTTGTTACCCATTGGTGTGGGTAATTTGTTTTTCTTTATGGATTTTATTTGGGGATTTTCTTTGGGTGGGTTAAGAGAATACGGTACTCTTTCTTCAAAAAAAAGATGTCAGTAGTGTTCTCTCTCTCAGCCCCCCGATCTTCCTAAGCTCCTTTAATGTAATGGTTTGGGTCTCTTTCTTAAGCTGGTCAAATATTATAGGTGGTTCTCTCTCTCTCCTTAGAGATGCGGGTCTCTCTCGCCATCTTTTCTTTTCTTTTCTTTCATCGGAAGCTGGTAGTTGGTCTCCCCGCTTGGTCTTTTTAAGCTGGTTTGATGCAATAGGTTTCTCTCTCTCTCTCTCTCACACACACAATCTGGTTTGATGTAATAGGTGTTTCTCTATCTCTCTCTCAATCTGGTTTGATGTAATAGGTGTTTCTCTGTCTCAATCTGGTTTGATGTAATAGGTGTTTCTCTATCTCTCTCTCATTCCGGTTTGATGTAATAGGTGTTTCTCTATCTCTCTCTGAATCTGGTTTGATGTAATAGGTGTTTCTCTCTCTCTGTTGGTCTTCTTAAGATGGTAGGATGTAACAGGTTGGTTGCTCTCTCTCTATAGCAAACTGATAACTTGGAAAGGGGGGTGTTACTTTGTTAAGATAGGGATTGTGTATGAATATTTTGGGTTGGTCTTGAAAAATCATGGTAATTCCTTTTTAATGAGATAATTACCTGTTTAATTTCTACTCGTTGGTATAGATTTTTATTTATTTATCTTGTGTACTTGGGTTTTGTTCATATGAATTTTTTTTTTTTTGAAGGTCAAGGTTTCTATTAGTTGGTGGACTCGCCTATCTGAATGAGTCCTCACTCTCATTGATTTTGAATTCAAAATTTGAGGAATGTATAATCTTGACAATCAATCGTATGTAGTAATTTGGAAAAAAGTTTTAAAATAAAAAATAAAAAATTCTTTATATGGTTTTGTAGAACTGCATTCCCTGAAGCACAAACTCTTTTATTTTGTTTTTGACGGTTTCTATGGGTCCATTTAGAATGAGTCCTTTCTTAAATTTTGTTTTTTAGATGTATTTTAGGACCCAATTTTTTAGGGACAATCTTAACATGGAGATTATGAATATGAAAAAAAAAAAAAAAGTAACATTAAAAATAATAATTTTAAGATGAAAAAATATTTTGATGGTTGGTTTCAACCATCCGTAAATGGATCATCCATTTGCATACATCTTTATAAGATGGATGTTTTATACTTTGGGGGATGCATTTCTCCATTTGTGTTGTTTAGCGCATCGAACAATTTTACTTTTTTCTTTTAGCAGGAGAAAGTAGTTTGTGTGCAAGTGGATGCGCTTATAGAATAGTGTCTTTGACACACTAAACATTTTAGATGGATGTTGAAAAATGACTGTACCATCTGAACTTAAAATCGACGGTCTTAGAAGTACATTATAATTTTTTATTTATTAGTATTAAAATTTGGTTCTTTTTCAAATTGTTATTCATCACGGTTGTGATTTTCATTCTTAATATTTGAATCCAAAATTTCTCTAAAATTGATTTAGGATAGGTTTATCTTTTTAGATAGGATAAATCTTTTACATCATATAATTCAGGTCGAATGTAAAAGTTAAATTACCCTAAAATTGGCTTTTTACATGCAATGCATCTAAAACAAAAATAGTCTCCCGAGTTTTCGAAGAAACAAGGTGCCCTATTTATGATGTGTCTTCTTGCGATGAAACCGTACGCTGTATGCTCAAAAGGAAATCTTATATGGATAGCCTGGTTTTAGGTAGGGTTCATTTTAGAGCCATGGGCGGAGCTTAAGCTTGGGCTGGCTGGGGCCCGGCCGAGCTATAAAAATTGAAGTATGGTGCACTTTTGCCCTAGATTGGCCAGAGACCAGACCACATAAAGCGTAGTCTCTCTCTCTTTCTTCTCTAAATGATCTAAAGTACGGTTTCCAATCATCGTCATCTTCATAGTTTTATGGTGCCTCTCTGCATAGTTTTTTGGTTCCTATTTGGAGATAGTTACATGAATTGTGGTTCGTTTTTTTGTTTTCAAAGGCTATAATTTCAGTGAGGTCATAAGTCTTTATATTTGTTGTTATTTTTTTTAATTATGTATTTTTGGGCGTACTTTTTTTTTTTTGAACAATAACGTACAACTTATTAGTAGTTCATATGTAAAATACAAGATGTTCAAGCAATGACACAATATTATCAAAAAGAAGTAACCAATAGAAGGGAAGGAAGTACGGACTCCTTTAACAAGAATATCAACATCTTCATTCGTCTATCTAATAACAATGTTGAAATATTGTCATAGAGAACAAAATATCTCAAATTTGATGAAAAATAGTCTTTAATCTTCAAGGGATTTTGGCTTCCTCTTGATCCAGGCAATGATATTTGTTTAGTTTCCTTTGATAATTCTGTCTCCTTCCAAAGTGCATAGCAATTTTAAACTTTCTAATAAACCTCGTGCTTATGTCTTATCTGTTGTTGTGATACCACAAGGACTTGAGTAAGAAAAAATAATGTGACTCAAATTATTTCAGATGAGTTCACTATAGCCGGCTGGCCTTAGATTGTCAATTGAACTTCCATCAAAATTAAGTTTGAAGGAATTCACTGGTGGTGGTATTCGAACAACCTCACTACTAGTGTTGGTAACACCAATAGTCACCACTGTCGAAGGATTGCTAATGATAGACTTTTTTTAGTCTTTCATTTGAACTAACTGCATCTCCTAATATATGTTGCATTGAGTCTGTGATGTACATAGCCAGCCCACTTAAGTTTACTTTCTTCTATCTTATTGCCTCTGGTATCATACCTAAATTCTTTCGAATGTATTTATTTCGAATTCTATATTTTCTTGTCTTGCCGCTCATTCATCTTAGGATCATCATTTCAACTATACTCATCCTATGGGTATATTGCTTCTTGACTACCCAACATTCCGCCCCATGAAGCCAAGTGGGCTTTATAATTGTCTTATAGAATTTGTCTTTCAACTTCATTGATATGTGGTGATCACATAAAACACCGATTGCACATCTCCATTTTGCCACGTGGTTCTAATTCTATATGCAACATTTTCCTCAATCTCTCTGTTTTCGGATCATAATTAGGTACTCGATAGACCCTCATATCGATTTGGAATCAATGATGATTCCTGATCCTGAGAAGCAATTCTCCAAGGGCAATAACTATCTTTTAAAAAATATAAAATACACAGAATGAGAATCCCCGAGTTCCTTATCCAAATTGCATGATCCGTCGGCAGAATTGCTCAGGTTAACGTCAGAACCGGGTGATTCTTGCCCATTGAGGTTGACTGCTTCCCAAATTCCATATTTCCAAACACAATCAACAATTTTTAAAGCCACGTAATTTTTTTTTTTTTTTTCTATTTGGCAGGGGGGAGGGCGGTAATTTGAGAGGAGGAGTCGAACTTGAGATATACTAACTACTCAAGCCCAAGCTTGATTCCATCGATCAAAGTTCTTGTCACTCCACTTCCCAATTCTCTCTTCCCAACTCATCTACCATTTGAACCTATGTTCGCAAACTCGTTCGGTCAAATTAGAACAGGCACTGATCCGGTTTTGGGTGGTCGGCTGCGTATCTAATTTTTTTAAAAAAAATACAAAATCCCAAAAAAGGGATTTGTTTGTAATGTGGTTTTTGATGTTTTTATCATTTTGACAAAGATTTTAAAGTGTTTTGGCCATGAATATTTATTTTATACATTTTTTTTTTTTTGAAAATTTTTAAAAATACCTTTAGATACAAATCAATTTTTTAAAATTCATTTGTTCATTTCCACTTCGATGTGCTTTGTTTAATTATGTTTTAAATGTATTTTTCATACTTTTTTTAAAAAAAATTAAAAAATTTTTTGTATTTGTTTTTTTTTCTAATACTTTTTAGATCGAGACCTACCTTTGGTTAGGGTAGTTGAACCACTAGTTTACTGGTTACTTGGACCTAACCCTTGGCCGGTTTTCAAGGCCGGTTCTATTTTGCGAACACTGATTCAAACTTTTGGTTCTTCGCTACTCTCTCTTTCTCGTGTATGTGCGTGCCAACCTAAAGCTTAATCATATAAATACATACAACGATTTTAAAGCCCCACTTGCCGATTGAGTCTGATGCATTTGCAGCCATGCATACAAGTTGAAAAAAGAAAAGATCAAACTTTTTGAAGAAAATAATTTTAAAAAATGTTAAATGCATTAAACAAATTCAAAAAAAGTTAAAGATTCTAAATACGTTGACTAATTGCAATAATTAATTATTTTTTGCCAACCCATCAATTAAATAATAATTCATAATTAATTTCTACATGACTACTTTTGAAAAAAAAGATAAAGAAAAACTAATTGATACTTCCTATTATCAATGTGGTCCTAGACTCTCTTTTCTTTTTCACTTTTTTCTTTTTTCTTTCTTTCTTTTTTTTTTTCCTTTTTAGCTTCTAGTTTAAGTTCTCAAATAAAGAGCCTTTGCCTTTTCGGAAAATAGGTTTTAAATTATATAATTACAGAAAATGGAGACGACAACCTAACAACTCATTGAAGTCTAATGTATTTCAATGTCACATGCCCACGTGGTCTTTGTTCTCGTATGCACGGATATTATAGCCATTCTATAAATGGAAATGACCTTAGTGAGACCCAGTTAATAGCATGGGACCTCTAATCTACACCATTGATTGGTCCCTAATCTATGCCGTTGGATCAATCTTAGATCTCAGCGCGAGAGGGCAAAATGCCTGTAGAGTTGTAGAGCCTCATTTCAAGTCTTGACCGAAAATGCAATTTTGATATTGAATTACCCTGTTGACCATCTATCCTCAACAATTATAGATCTAAAAAAAATGGAAAAGTTTATATAGAGCCGAGGCTCTAAGCAATCAAATTAAAACCTACTACAAAAAGTTCACTACAAGAAGTTGTTTTGATGTCCAAATATCTTCAAATTGATAATCTCGACATCAAGATGTATGAACATGAGAAAAAAATGAATTTCAAGCTTTGGAAAGAGTGTATTTTGTAATGCATTTTTGGACCGTTCATTTTCAAGTTTTCATAGATATGTCGATCTACACTATTTTTGAAGCTTCAAATATAAATAAAGATAAAATTATATTTTAAGGCTATCACAAAGATTTCAAGTATTGAAACCACATTTCTCGATACTATTTGAATGTAGGTTCTAATTTGATTGTTTAGAGCCTAGGCTCTATACAAATTGCACAAAAAAAAAAATGAATTGCGAGCCTTAAAAATACTGTATCTTAGTGATATAAAAAATCAAAACAGGGACCCATATCTTGCACCCCAAATCGGTGAATCGGCAGTCTGAATCGGTGGATTGGCGATCTAAATAAGTGGAAGGGCCAGATTAGTCAGATTCAGCCTTAAACAATTCAAAAAAAATATTACAAATTATTACAAATGTTGGGCTTTAGGATTTAAAAAAGAAATTGGGATACTACATCATTGACTTTCATTATTTTGTATCAATATGCAAATATTGAGATGTTCTTTGCTGGTATGAGCTATTGTTAACCATTAAATTTACCTCACACACAAAAGAAGTATAAAATCATTATGGATGAAGAATATAATCATACATGAACTATAATAAAGCATACAATTCGTAAAATATGTTTTAAAACCAAAATGAAAGACGATGTTGTTCTTCATCTTGGTTACGCTATCTCCACTTCTTAAATTGGTGAGACAATTCATTGATTCGTGCCGACCCTATGTTGCCATGTAGTGTCTTCTTTAGATTGCGACATGGTTCAACTATTCAACTGTTGTAAGATGCTAATGGTAAAAAATGAACCAGACAATTCAACATGAAAATTAATAACTGTGTATCTTGAGAATATGTAAAAAGGTAGTTCATGAAGTTATCTTTGTTGTTCAGACAAAATAGTTCTTATTGAAAAATAGATCTGACAAGCATGAACTAGTTCTTACTGACAAAAATAATTTGTTTATGCAACATTATAGCTTAGAAGCAGCCCAAACTAGAATCAAGAAAAAAAACTATATTCATGACATTGAGTTTATATATCGAAAGAATCCAAGAACTTCGAATTATTGGTTCATTGGAGATAAAATTTCATAAAAACTATAATTTGTGGCACTGCAATCATTAAAGGAAAAAATTTATATAGGATTGCAACCTTAAAATGTAGAACTACGGATGCACCTCAAAAATCCATCGAAAAAGGTTATTTTAATATTGAAAAACCTTGTGATTGATCATCTCAACATCGAGATGTATGACTATGAAAACTAAAAATATTATGAGTCTAAAAAATAGTGCATCTTACAACATATTTTCTACACCGTCCATTTTCAAGATTTTCATATATTTATAGATCTACTTGATTTTAATCATTTTTGAAATTTAAAATTTTATAATTAGATATAAAAATAGACTTTGAGATAATCTTAAGAACATTTTACATCAAAATTACACATTATGATAAAATTTGAAGGTGCACCTTAGTTGGATCGTTTAAGGTTGCAACATTATGGAAACCACACCCATCATTAAATTGCATTTTTTAGTACAAGAAAACCGAGGGAAAAAAAATTCTAACATATATGTCTTTTGAAGGAATGTAAAGAAACATACAACCAAATGCATGAATAACTAAAATAGTACTAGAATGGTTGATAATAGTAAAGAACTCATAATTAAACAAATTTTTTGGATTTAAAATTTTAAATCACAAAATATAGAATTTACTTTAAAATTTTCATTCTAAGGAATTAGAAATACATTTCATTTTTATAATTTCAAAAGTATATATCATCTAAGTTCCACAAACAACAAAAGATAAACTTAGACTTAAGGAATTAACTATAAACATTTATCTGGCATAAATTGACATTGCTGTAAACAACAAATCAATGGTAAAAAAATTGAAAATAAATGCTAAACAACTAAAAATAAAATTTAAAAATTTAAATTTAAATTTAAAAAATATGGATTTCAATAATTTAATAAATTTCTCTGATAATTTGTAAGTTAATAATTTGTGAAAAAGGTTTATTGTTGAGAACCTCCAAAACTGAGAGCAATTTTGGGCTCAATCCGTGGGGTTATTTGTATGGATCCATTAGATTAGATCTATACAATCGTAGATACGTCGTCTACAATTATTTTGAATCAAAGTTGAAGAGGTTTGTTGCAAAATAGTGTATTAGAATAAACGAAATATTCTAATATTTTTAAGGGAAAATTTGACCCAAATTGACCTTAATTTTGGTCCAATTTCAATGCAATTCTTATGTTTTTCCCCATTGGCTACAAACCAAGGTTCGAAAATTCCAAAACTTGACCTTACTTTCACCGAAATTTTGTATTGTTGCCGTGTGGAAGAGTCTTAGCCGTGTGGACCTCCCAACGAAAAATCACAAATACAACAATTTTTTTTTTATTGAATTACAATAAATAATTAAATTATTAAAAAGGTTTAATTTTAAAATATCCAAAAGGTTTTATACTCCCGCTAGAGCATAAGTCTTCATTTACTCCCTCGAGTGAAGCCCCATTCGGTGTAATTTTAGGTCCTCAAATTTTGGGGACGTAAGTTCTTCAAGCCTTTTTTTAGTAGTTCTACTTTTTTCGAGTTGAGCTTTATATACACTAGAAAAAAAATAATTTCTCAATATTGAACAGAGACCATTCAATTTATGAAAGATAAGATCTAATTGTCAAAAAATAAAAATATTTAAATATATTTTATAAAGTAATCATCTAGTGATTATTAGGTATTAGGTTAGTCTAAGAAGGGTGATGACCTTAAACTTTTTTTTAACCCGTTTTATAACCCAAAAAAAGGCTAGGTTGTAGTTCACAAACAACCAATGTAAAATTTTTCCAAAACGTATCATGGATCTTGAACTTATCATAGATCTTGAAGTAGAATGGCAGACCAAGATTTATAGAGCCGACTCCAATTTGTTGAAAAAAATCTTTGATGATCTAATGATTATTAAGTGGTACCCCAAATTTTAGGCAGAAATAATCTTTTTTAATAAACAGACTTCACTAAGGGAGTAGATGCACATTATACTCAAGCAGGAACATACTGTATGTATACTCTACCACAAAATGGGAGTAATTAGTTTTGGGCGGTCCGGGATCTTGCAGGCTTTCGGCGAGCTCGACTCACGCGCCCAGGAAAGTCTTGCTAACTGCCCCTTCAATCCCGCTTATTTTCTGATATACGCCTCAAGAATATCTGGAAAACCATGTAGAGGAAATTTACTTTGGGATTGCATGAAATGGGATCGGTATTTTTTATAGGAATTATATACAACGAGATTATTTATTTTTTATACAAAGTGGTCATAATTATTTTTAAAAATAATACACTTGCAACATATTATTTAAACCGTTTATATTCGAACTTTTCATGGGTTTATAAATCTGCTTAATTTAAGTCATTTTTGGAATTAAAAATTTTGTAATGAGAGTTGCAAATAGATTTTCGGGCCATCCTAAAAATTTTGACACCAAAATTGTATCCTATGACAATATTTGGAGGTATGCCCTATTTTGATTGTTTAAGGTTGCAACCATATGCAAACCTCATCCTTAACAAACTTACTTAATAGTAGGGTTTTTAGAGAGAGAGAGTAATACACAAAACTAGAGAGTAATAACCGATAAAGGTGAGTTGAGGTTGTGTCTTTAGAGATATTATTTTTTAAAAGTTTATATAAGGGGTCAACATTATACTATATCAATTTTCAATAAAATTTGATAATTTTGTTACCAAAAAAAGAATAAGGTGCACTTCTAAAACCTCTTAACCTCAAAAACTTCTGAAAAAGGTCATGATGCTACTATAAAGAAGCTTGATATATTGGGTTTGGAGGGAGAGAGGGGTTTTCACTTTTTAGAGAGATTATAAGTATCTTGATATCAACAACTATAGATTAATAATCTAACTTTAAGCCGAGGTGGTCAAGGTAACGAGTATATCAAGATGTTCAAAGCTCAGTTTTCACCAAATTAATAGTAAATAATAAAAAGTAAAATAAAATAAATACATATTAAGATGCACTAATCCAAATTAATAGTAAATAATAAAAAGTTAAATAAAATAAAAACATATTAAACTGCACTAATGAACGAGGATCAAATCATGTTGTAGACGGCCAATGGCATATTGGAAATTACGCTTAGAATGAGGGGTATGTGCATGGCACTAATCAGCAGGTAAAATAAAGTGCAAAAAAAAAAAAAGTTGTAAAATAGAACCCTACGGATACGTGGCATCCATTTATTGGTCTGACTGCAGTGATCATAGTCAACTCCCTGCCTGTCTCCTGCGACTCTTTAAAGGAGCAAAGCAAATCTATATTTGCTGTCATTTTTGTAAAAATAAATTTTGCATAAAATATAAAAATAGCTGAAAAATAAATTCAACAGAAACTCAAAATTACTCATATATTTTGGAAAAAGAGAAAATTCACAACTTAAACTTCAATTTGGACAAAGAAAAGATACCCCATGATCCCAAATTCCTATGTCTCGTACAAGAACCATGATCTGCGAATGATTAAAACACTCAGACAATACAGAGGATCCAGCGTTGTTCTGTACTCTGTCCTTTTATGGCGATTTTCTCATGCAAATAAAAAATAAATGAACATTTAACTGAATAAATATAGAAGCTGGGTGATCCCATCACTATCTCTTCATCAAATTCTCCAATCTTTTCGAGGTAAGTTTCTAATAAAATCTTGAAAAAAACTCTCTCATATGAGTCAATTCACAGCAATTACATTAGAGTATGATTTGTACATTATAAGATTAGTCTTCATGCATTTTTCAGCTATTTTTTGCTCGAATCTTGCATTTTTTCACCATACTGCTAATTTGATTCATGTTTTGAGCACACCCAAGAGTTGAATTCAATGAGATTCCTGAAAATAATTACTTGTTTTTGTTAATCAAAATTTGGTGCTCTTTAATGGTTTGCACTGAACATTGTACTGATCTGTTTCTGTTTTAAAGCATATTTGGCAGTTAAATTCAATGGAGGTTTCAGAAAGTTTCCTGAAAATTTGTTTTGCTTTTTTTTTTCATGGCTTGATTGTTAAGTTTTCATACAAACATTAAAACTAATATGGGTTTTCAGTATCATGGGCTAAGTTCATATTGATCTCGCTTTTTGCAGTTAAATTTCTGAAGAAATTTACGGTTCCAGTTCCCTAACCAGCCATCAGTGCTCTCAAATCACACTCCCATCACGGACTCGGAATCAATCAGCCAACTCAATCCTTGCCATTTTCTTATATTTTTTGGCTATATATCAGAACTCGTCGAATTTTTTTGAATCAGATCAATGGTGTTTATGTGAGAGAGTTAGGCCTCTGAAGAACCCCAGAATCACAATAGAAATAGAAGAAGGAAGAGGGAACAGAAAGAAAAACAGGGCACTTGAGAGCAACTGCTTCTGCATTCAGTCATTCAAACTTTTCTGGTCTATAATCCTCCACCTGAGCTTGAAAAACCTGCACATGAATTCGGCATCTCGACCCGTGATCAAAATTTTCTCTTTTAGAGTTAGCAGTTAATGCCACCTTTTGAACAAGGTTGGGCACCTTCTTTATTCACAAGAAATCTGATGCAAGTGGAGAGAGAAAGTAGAGAGAGAAAGCTTGCGGTTTCAGGTCCGAATCATGTCATTTTCAGGGGATCTTTTATGCCTTGTGGATATTATTGAGCTATAAAATGTTTGGTACCAGGCTCTGATGCTTTTGTGGGATTACTTCTTTGAAACTGGAGAGAAGTGATGGCCATGGCTAATGGAAAATCCAGATCTGTCAGGTGTGTTCTCTCTCTCTCTCAAAGGTCCCTGTTTCTTAGTGCTTCATTCTCCTATAGGCTTGTTTTAGCTCTGGTTTATTGATAGGTGATCCATTTTTAGTGCTCTGTATGCATTTTTTTGTCAAGTTCCATTGTTTAGAGTTCTCTCTCTCTCTAATTTCCAAAATTTAGGGATGAGAATCAATATTAAAAATAAATAAATCAAACCTCATGTTTTTAGGTGAAGCCGTTCAAAAATGAAATTCTATTTCTGATTGATAACTAGTTAAGTATGTTAAAAGCATTGTCAACTGCCCTGTTTTGATAACTCTGGCTAAATTCTCCTTTTTCCGGTAGATTTCCGGTGGCTTTTTTATTGAAAGTTTGAAACTCTCAGAAATATTGCACCAAAAATCTAGCAAATTCTTTAGGAATCACACATCTTTCATCACTCATATCATTCCTATTCTTCTTTAGAATTGAAAGTAAAAGTTCTCCCTCTCCTAAATATCAAATTCATGACACAAGCAATAAACCATTCAATTATATGTGCTCTTTCTTCACCCTTCTTTGATCATTACTATCTTTTTCCCTCTGATCACTCTTACCCTCTTTGCATCAAGTTAACCACAACACCCTCGTCTCTCCCTCTCTCTCTCTTGGGAAACTTTACTCTCTCAAACACAACACCCCCTCTCTCTCTCTCTCTAGTATGCTCTCTCTCTCAACCACAACCACCCTACTCTCTCT